ATGGATTACACCTCAATATCAAGAAAACAAAAATCCTCACAACTGGACCAACAAGCAACACCAGGATAAGTGGAGAAAAGACTGACGTTGTCGAGGATTTCATTTTACTTGGATCCACAATCAACACCCATGAAAGCAGCAGTCAGGAAATCAAAAGACGCATTGCATCAGGTAAATCTGCTGCAAAAGACCTCTTTAAAGTGTTGAAAAGCAAAGATGTCACCTTGAAGACTAAGGTGTGCCTGACCCAAGCCATGATGTTTTCAATCACATCATATGCACGCGAAAGCTGGACAATGAATAAGACTGAAGAACTGACGCCTTTGAATTGTGGTGTTGGTGAGGAATATTGAATATACCATGGACTGCCAAAAGAACAAACAAATCTGTCTTGGAGGAAGTACAGCCAAAATTCTCCTTAGAAGCAAGGATGGTGAGACTACATCTTACATACTTTGGACATGTTATCAGGAGGGACTAGTCCCTATAGAAGGGCATCATGCTTGAGAAAGTAGAGGGTCAGTGAAAAACAGGAAGACCCTTGATGAGATGGATTGACACCGTGGCTGCAACAGTAAGCTCAAGCATAACAACAATTGTGAGGCTGGTGCAGGATAGGGCAGTGTTTCGTTCTGTGGCGCATAGGGTGGCTATGAGTCGGAATTGACTTGACGGCACCTAACAACAACAACAAGGAAGATCAGTTGATATGACTATTATTCAAATTTATGCACCAACTACTAAGGCCAAAGATTAAGAAGTTAAACATTTTTTACCAGCTTCTACAGTCTGAAATTGATCAAACATGCAATCAGGATGCATTGATAATTACTGGAGATTGGAATGTGAAAGTTGGAAAGAAAGAAGGATCGGTAGTTGGAAAATAGGGCCTTGGTGATAGAAACAGCACCCGAGACTGCATGATAGAGTTTTGTAGACCAACGACTTCTTCATTGCAAACACCTTTTTTCAACAACATAAACAGCAAATATACATGTGGACCTAGCCAGTTGGAATACACAGGAATCAATCAACTACCTCTGTGGGAAGAGACAATGGGAAAGCTCAATATCATCAGTCAGAACAAGGCCAGGGGCTGACTGCAGAACAGACTATCAATTGCTCATATGCAAGGTCAAGTTGAAACTGAAGAAAATTAGAACAAGTCGACAAGAGCCAAAGTACAACTTTGAGTATATCCCACGGGAATTTAGAGACCATCTCAAGAATAGATTTGATGCGTTGAACACTAATGACCAAAGACCAGACGAGTTGTGGAATGACATCAAGGACATCATACATGAAGAAACCAAGAGGTCATTAAAAAGATAGGAAAGAAAGAAAAGACCAAAATGGATGTCAAAAGAGACTCTGAAACTTGCTCTTGAACATCAACTAGCTAAGGAGAAAGGAAGAAACGGTGAAGTAAAAGTGTTGAACAGAAGATTTCAAAGGGCAGCTCGAGAAGACAAAGTATTATAATGACGTGTGCAAAGACCTGGAATTAGAAAACCAAAAGAGAAGAACATGCTTGGCATTTCTGAAGCTGAAAGAACTGAAGAAAAAATTCAAACTTCAAGTCACAATATTGAAGGATTCTATGGGGAAAATATTAAATGACTCAGGAAGAATCAAAAGAAGATGGAAGAATACACAGAGTCACTATACCAAAAAGAATTGGCTGACGTTCAGCCATTTCAGGGGGTAGCACATGAGCAGGAACCAATGGTACTGAAGTAAGAGGTCCGAGCTGCACTGAAGGCATTGGCGAAAAACAAGGCTCCAGGAATTGACGGAATATCAACTGAGATGTTTCAACAAACGGATGCAGAGGTGGAAGTGCTCACTCATCTATGCCAAGAAATTTGGAAGACAGTTACCTGGCCAACTAAATGGAAGAGATCCATATTTATGCCTATTCTAAAGAAAGGTGATTCAACTGAATTTGGAAATTATCGAATAATATTAATATCACATGCAAGTAAAATTTTGCTGAAGATCAGTCAAAAGCGGTTGCAGCAATACATCGACAGGGAACTGCCAGAAATTCAAACCAGATTCAGAGGAGGACTTGGAAGGAGGGATATCATTGCTGATGTCAGATGGATTCTGGCTGAAAGCAGAAATACCAGAAAGATGTTTACCTGTGTTTTATTGACTATGCAAAGGTATTCAACTGTGTGGATCATAACAAATTATGGATAAGATTGCGAAGAATGGAAATTCCAGAACACTTAATTGTGCTCATGAGGAATGTGTACATAGATAAAGAGGTAGCTGTTTGAACAGAACAAGGGGATACTGCGTGGTTTAAAGTCAGGACAGTTGTGTGTCAGGGTTGTATCCTTTCACCATATTTATTCAATCTGTATGCTGAGCAAATAATCAGAGAAGCTGGACTATATGAAGAAGAACAGGCCTTCAGGATTGGAGGGAAGACTCATTAACAGGCTGCATTATGCAGATGACACAACCTTGCTTGCTGAAAGTGAAGAGGACTTGAAGCACTTACTGATGAAGATCAAAGACCACAGCCTTCAGTAAGGATTACACCTCAACATCAAGAAAACAAAAATCCTCACAAATGGACCAATAAGCAACATCAGGATAAGTGGAGAAAAGATTGACGTTGTCAAGGATTTCATTTTACTTGGATCCACAATCAACACCCATGGAAGCAGCAGTCAGGAAATCAAAAGACGCATTGCATCAGGTAAATCTGCTGCAAAAGACCTCTTTAAAGTGTTGAGAAGCAAAGATGTCACCTTGAAGACTAAGGTGTGCCTGACCCAAGCCAGGGTGTTTTCAATCGCCTCATATGCATGCGAAAGCCAGACAATGAATAAGGAAGACCGAAGAAGAATTGATGCCTTTGAATTATAGTGTTGGTGAAGAATATTGAATATACCATGGAGTGCCAAAAGAACGAACAAATCTGTCTTGGAAGAAGTGCAGCCAGAATGCTCCTTATAAGCAAGGATGGCGAGACTACATCTTACATACTTTGGACATGTTATCAGGAGGGACTAGTCCCTATAGAAGGGCATCATGCTTGAGAAGGTAGAGGGTCAGTGAAAAACAGGAAGACCCTTGATGAGATGGATTGACACAGTGGCTGCAACAATGGGCTCAAGCATAACAACTATTGTGAGAAGCGCAGGACTGGGCAGTGTTTTGTTCTGTTGTACATAGAGTCACTAAGAGTCGAAACCGACTGGATAGCACCTAACAACAGCACACAAACCACTGTGTAGAACCAGAGGAAAGAGGAAGTAGGATATGAATGACTAAAGGGACAAATAAAAGGGGAGACTGAGTGAGTGATAGGGGGAAAGCTGGGGTGAGGTGTTGCCCAGGGCTACAAGATTGTCTGGAAAGGTCTCCAGGAAAGGATGAGCTTGAGTAGTGGGGTAGAGGACTATGGGGTCTAGAAGAAGAGAGGAGAATGCATGGCCAACATGGTGTCCAGTCTCCTGCACCAAGGCAAAAATAGGCAGAGGGCCAACAACTGCTCAGGGAAGCAGAGGTGGTGCCAAGGGGGTTGGGGATGGGGGCTTTAGCCTCAATCACCCTTGGCCCATCCCTCCAAATATATAATCTAAGTATCAAACTGTGTGTTTGCTATGTAAATCCAGCTTCAAGGCAAGTCCTCTAGCTTGCTTTCCAAACCAATTGCTCCTTCTAAAGAAATTCCTTAGAATTTAGAGTAAGGGCCCTCTTTTACAGAAATCTGGATCTGCCACTGCACCCACAAAATAGTTGGCTAAAGAGAAGAACATCCTCTTGGTGGTGATGTTAGATACTAAAAGAGAAGACTGGAAGACATCACATATCCATGTCTGAGGAAATTTCTATAGACAGTATTCCAGCATGGCGTACCCAGCAGGCCTGAATTTTAATCCTGGCTCCACTACTTATTAGATCAAAATTCAAAAGATAGAAAAGGGCATATAGTGAAAAGTCTGTCTAACATTTGTTCCATGGGTATTCACTTCCTCTTCCCTGAGCCAATCAAGGTTACCATTTTCTTATGTTGCCTTCGAGAAATAACAGCATGTGTGTGTGCGTGTGTGTGTGTGTGTGTGTGTATGTGTGTGTATATATACCAAAACCAAATAAAACCCATTGCCATCGCATCGACTCCGACTTATAGTGACCCTACAGGACAGAGTAGAACCGCCCCATAGGGTTTCCAACGAGTGGCTGATGGATTCCAACTGCTGACCTTTTGGTTAGCAGCCATAGCTCTTAACCAACCCCTATGGGGTGGTTCTACCCTGTCCTATAGGTTGCTGAGGCAGAATCTACTCGATGGCAACGGGTTTATACATATATGTGTGTGTATGCATATATATATTTTTCCTCCCCCTTTTAAAACAAATGGTAGCGTACTATATAGCCTGTTTAATACCTTGCTTTATTCAGTTAACAATATATCTTAGAGATTGTTCTTATTCTTATTCTTTTCTTTGACTGGGTAGCACTCTACTGAATGGGTGAACTATAATTTATTTACCCTATCTCTTCTTTTCTTGGTGGACATTTAGTTTTGTACACGCATTTGTAATGCTGATAGTTGTTACAAATTACCTTCCAAAGAAATGTACCAGTTAACACTCCCACCAACAATGTATAAGAGTTTGGGCAATTATTTAATCTCTGAACCCAGTTTCCTTATTCGTAAAATAATAAACACAGTATCTATTTTTGGAATTGCTGTGAAGATTAATTGAAATGATGCACGTCAAGTATTTGGCACATAGGAGTCTATGCTCTCAAATGAGGGTATTATTTTATTCTGGATTAGTGAAATATTGTCCCTGTTGGGTAAATGAAGGTAATGGGACCTCCTCACCAGTCTGGGGTTCTCTGATTAGTGTGAGGGGCAGATTCCGCAGGAAATTAGTTACTCAGATCAGAAGAGTTGTGGATACTGCCCTCACTAGTGGTGCCATGTCTCCAGAGCTCCCCAACCTCTTCCACATGGCTTCTACTTCCAGGTAACTCTTGGCTGAAAAATCGCCTTGATTGCAGAAAAAACCTGTGGGACCAAGGATACTTTCCTCTGATCATCAAGAATCTTGAGATGAGAGACTCAGGACATTACATCTGTGAAGTGGAGAACGAAAAGGAAGAGGTTCAATTGCTGGTGTTCAGATGTGAGTGGGGAGGGTCTGGGATGAGGATACCCTTGCCCAGTCTCCCTTCCTCCTCTCTCCCATCTCCACACCAGAATAGGGCCTGAGCTGGTGGTACTTAATCAGTCTGGAGATGGCTCAGACAATAAGTCTCCTTAGGCCCTCCTCAGGCCTTGGGTTAGGCAGGGGCGAGAGGGAGAGGCCTAGAGAGGGGGAAAGAGAAGGGCAGGAACCAATGGAAGGAAGGAGAGAAAGAATAGGGAAGGGAATAAGGGAAGAAGAGGAGGAGAGGGCTGGATTGGGGGTTGGAAGCTGGGTGTTGGGAGGAAAGGAGATGTTGGGACAAAGGTAGAGACCGTCTTGGTTTCTCAGCCTCTTGGGGATGGTGTGCGTATGCGTGTGTGACACAGGTGTCCTGTTCCCTCCACAGTAATTGCCAAGCCTGGAGTCCACTTGCTGCAGGGGAAGAACCTCACCCTGACCTTGGAGAGCCCCTCTGATAGTAAGCCCTCAGTACAATGGAAGGGTCCACGCGATTACAGCAAGAATGAGGCCAAGAGCCTCTCAGTGCCCCAGCTGGGGCTGCGGCACAGCGGCACCTGGACATGCACCGTCTCCCAGAACCAAAAGACTCTGCAGCTCAGAGTAGAGATCTTGGTGCTAGGTAAGAGGAGCTCCTCACCCCTGCAGTCTCCTCCGGACTCAGGGGCTAACCAGCCCTCCCTCAGCTCTCACTGCTGTGTTCCCAGGCCTGGTGCTGGGGGGAGGGGTAGATCTAGGCCCCCTAAAGCTGAGATCTGTCCTGAGGGTCATCCTGGGCCCTCTCTTCCTCAGTGTGCTGACTAACAGCCACCCCGCAGGTGGTGGACAAGAAAGGGAGGGAAGATGTAAAGATGAGGGGCCCCAAAGGCCCCTGGAGGAGGCCCCAAAGGAGGAGTGCCAAGGGTATCTACTTTCTTCATTGCCTCAGCTCCCCACCCCTCCCAATTTGGCACATCCACTTACTCAGGGACACTAACACCAGCAAGCAAGCCCTGATGAAATTCTACATTGCACCTGTAGAGCCATGAGCTAGGCACTGAGGGAAAGACCAAAAACCAACAAAGCAGGTCCCACCCTGCCTGCATCCTCTAGGTGCTTATGTGACATAAGGTAGTGGAGTATGGTGGTTTCATGCTTGGACTCTGATTTAAATTCTAGCTCTTTCACTGACAACCATGTAACCTTGGGCAAGCTACTGAACCTCTCTGTGCCTTGGTTTCTGCATCTGTAAAATGGGGATGATACTGTGATAGTACCCATCTTGTAGAGTTATGGCAAGAATTAAATGAGCTAATGTATGTAACACATTTAGAGCAGTGCCTGGCACATAGTAAGCTCTATTTAAGTGCTTGTGCTTATTTTGTGGAAGATGATAAATTATACATCTAAGTTGTTGTTGTTGGATGCCATTGAGTTGATTCTGACTCATAGTGACCCCATGTGACAGAGCAGAACTGCCCCATAGGGTTTTGGCTGTAATCTTTACTGAAGCAGATCACCAGGTCTTTCTCCTCACTGGGTGAGTTCAAACTGCCAACCTTTCAGTTAGCAGCTGAGCAGTTAACTTTTGCACCACCAGTGCTTCTTATAAGTAGTGCAAGCCAAATGCCCTCTGTGCTCCCTTGGGATCCTGAGGAAGGAGAGGCCCCCCTGTGGCTGGGCTGCTCCATGAGGCTTCCAGGAGGAGGGAAGCTGCCTTAGAAACATGTTGGGGTGGAGAGACAGGAGAGAAGATTGAAGAGGTAAAAGGGATTTTTTAAAAAAATTTTTTCCCATACAAAAATTTATACATACATTGTTATGTGACTCTGATTGCTCTCCCCATACTGTGACAGCACACTCCTCCTTTCCACCCCTGATTCCCCATGTCCATTCAGCCAGCTCCTAACCCTCTTAGCCTTCCCATCTCACCTCCAGACAGAAGCTGCCCATTTAGTCTCTTGTATCTACTTGAGCTAAGAGGCACACTCCTCACGAGTATCACTTTATGTCCCACAGTCCAGTCCAATCCCTGTCTGAAGAGTTGGCCTTGGAAATTGTTTTAGTTCTGGGCTGATAGAGAATCCGGGGGCCATGCTTTCCGGGGTTCCTCCAGTCTCAGTCAGATCATTAAGTCTGGTCTTCCTACTAGAACCTGAGTTCTGCATCCCACCTTTCTCCTACTCCATCCAGGACTCTCTGTTGTGTTCCCTGTCAGGGTGGTCATTGGTGGCAGCCGGGCACCATCTAGTTCTTCTGGTCTCAGGCTGATGAAGTCTCTGGTTTATGTGGCCCTTTCTGTCTCTTGGGCCAATACTTTCCCTGTGTCTTTGGTGTTCTTCATTATCCTTTACTCCAGGTGGCTGGGACCAATTGATGCATCTTAGATGGCTGCTTGCAAGCTTTTAAGACCCCAGACGACACTCACCAAAGTAGGATGCAGAAGATTTTCTTAATAAGCTTTGTTATGCCAATTGACCTAGATGTCCCCTGAAAGCATGGTCCCCAAACCCCTACCCCTGCTACTCTGTCCCTCAAGGTGTTTGATTGTATTCAGGAAACTTCTTAGCTTTGGTTTAGTCCAGTTGTGCTGACTTCGCCTGTAGTGTGTGCTGTCCTTTCCTTCACCTAATACTGTAAAAGGTAATTTAAGGACCTGAAATGCCAACCTAGGTTTTTGGGCTTATCCTGGTCCCCCTTCCATCTCTGCTGCCCCCACTACATGCCTCCTCACCCTGCCAAGCCTCATCTTCCTGCCTCCATCTGACCCAGGTTCTCTCCCATCCCACCTCCAGCTTTCCAGAAGGACTCCAACACAATCTATAAGAAGAATGGGGAGCAGGTGGAATTCGCCTTCCCACTTACCTTCACAAATGAAGACCTGACTGGGGAGCTGAAGTGGCAGGCAGAGGGAGCTTCCTCCCCCCAAACCTGGATCACCTTCTCCTTGAAGGACAAGAAGGTGTCCCCGACATCGGTTATACTGGACAAATTGAAGATGAATAAGACATTGCCACTCTGCTTCACCCTGCCCCAGGCCTTGCCTCAATATGCTGGTTTTGGAAACCTGACCCTGGATCTTGCCAAGGGAAAGCTACATCAGAATGTGAGCCTTGTGGTGATGACAGGTGAGAAGCCGGGCTGATATGGGGAGGGCAGCAGTGGGAGGTGAAGGGGCCTGGCCCAGGGCTCCCTCTGAGGCAGGGTGGACTCTAAAAGAGGATGCCTAGCTAGGCCCTGATTAGAAGTCCTTGGGTAGTCAAACAGTTAACACGCACAGCTGTTAACCCGAAGGTTGGTGGTTCACATCCACTCAGAGGCATCTCAGAAGACAGGCCTTACGATTTATTTATGAAAAATCAGCCATTGAGAACCCTTTGGAGCATAGTCCTTCTCTGACACATATGGAGTCACCAGGAGTTGGAATCGAGTTGATGGCAACTGGTTTTAGGCCCTGGGTGCCTGATCAAACTGATCAAGGGCCCTCTGGGTTTTGGACTGATTTTGAACTTAGACTGAATCCACATGTCCTTCTCCGACAACCCTGGGCCAGCCTGGGGCTGCTTCCACTGGGAGTCCCCAAAGGGCGTGGGCCAGGAACCAGGGTTCTAGGTCTGCCTCTGCCCAGCTCACCCTCTGTGACCCTGGCTAAACCCCCTACCCACCATGGGCCTGCTTTCTCACCTGCCAAATGAGGATAACATAATCTGCTCTTAGTAAGATAGTAGCAATGATAATAACACTTAAGTCAGGTTCTAGGGTGAGTTCTTCACATCCTTATCTCCTTAATTATCATAAAAAATAAAAAAACCAAACCCATTGCCATTGAGCAGATTCCAACTCATAGTGACCCTATAGGACAGAGTAGAACTGCCCATAGGGTTTCCAAGGAGTGGCTGGTAGATTCCAACTGCCGACCTTTTTTTTTGGTTAGCAGCACAGTCTTAACCACTGTGACATGAGGGCTCCTAATTATCACAACAACCTCATATATAACTAACACTTGACGCTTAGTACACGCCAGGCCCTGTTCTAAGCACTTTATGTGGATTCATTCATTTAATTATTGTGTGAGGCTTAGAGAGTTAAGTGACTTGACCAGGGACACACAGCTAGTAAGCAGAGGAGCTGGGATTCAAACCTAAGATGGCTGGACTCCAAAATCTGTGTGTTCTCTATTACAACTTCATGAAAATGTTCTCTGAGAGGCTAAGTGAAGGGCATCCACGTAAATCATCGTTTTTATTGTTCTACTGAATGCCCTTAGAGCTTGGAGGTGCAGGGAACCCACAGGTCCAGGCTCCCAGCCCCCCAGCCTGTCACCTCTCTTGCAGTGACTCAGCTTCAGAACAATTTGATCTGTGATGTGTTGGGACCTATCTCCCCCATGATGACCCTGAGCTTGCAGCGGAAGAACCAGACAACAAAGGTCTCGAAGCAGCAGAAGCAGGTGCAGGTGTCAGATCCTGAGGAGGGGATGTGGTTGTGTCTGCTGAGGGACAAAGGCAAGGTCCTGCTGGAATCCAAGTTTGAGGGTGAGGATCCAGCTCCTATGCCCTAACCCCAAGCCTCTGCCTCCTCAGCCATGGGACCTTCCTTGGCTTGGCTGAGGCCACCTCCCAATTCCTCTGAGATGGATGGGCTATACATATGTGGCCCAAGGCACAGAGTTTCCAACTTCCTAAGGTCTAGAGCCCAGGAATGGGGCCCCCTGACCAAGAACTACCTCTCCTGGCTCCCCTGCAAACACATACACACACATACAGACAGCCCAGGGCCTGAACCACAGATCTCCAGAGCACCCTATAGTCTCTAAAACAAACTCCTTCCCCAGCTCTGCCCTCTCAAGCCCTGATGGGGCTCGAAAGAGCCCTGGGAACCCTGCCCCTTTCTCCTGGTCCAAGCACAGACCCCAGTCTGGCTGGGCAGCCAGCCTTCCTCAGCCCCTCCAGACTGCCCTGTGCCCTTGATGAAGTGCAGTGGGCTAAGCACACCCCTTTCTCTTGCAGTTTTGCCCAAAGTGTTCCAGCCCCCGGTGATACTCCTGGCTGCAGGCCTAGGTGGCAGCGTAGGCCTTCTGTTTTTCACTGGGTTGGGCATCTTCTGCTGTGTCAGGCACCGGCACCAGCGGGTGAGTGAGCCTCCCCAGACCCTCCAACATGGGCAATTACACCCCTACCCCTACAGGGCCCTTGAGCACCTGAGGCCTGAACAGCAACCAGTGTAGCCTGTATACGCGACCTGCTTCTGTTCTGGCTCTCTCTGCCCCAAGCTTTCCTCTCTGGATACAGGGCCCTGTCCCAGATGCCATGCAGAGCGAGAGACAGGAAGGAGGAGAGAGCTAATTCGGGGACAGATGGTCTCAGCTATAGTAACTGCTTCTCTCCCAGCTTCCCCCTCTCCCCCCTCCAAGGGGCACCTCCCTCATGGAGGCCTGGGACCCTCACAACTCCCCTCCTTCTCCCTGGACAGCGCCAAGCAGAGCGGATGTCTCAGATCAAGAAGCTCCTCAGTGAGAAGAAGACTTGCCAGTGTTCCCAGTAAGGAACTGGGAGACAGGGCAAGGGAGAGAAGGAAGGGGAAGGAGAAGGAAGGGGAGGGAGGAAAAGAGAGCAGGGGTGGGAAGAGGAGGAAGGGGAAAGGTGAGGAGAGAAGGGAGGGGTTGAGGAAGGAGGGAGGGAGAGAGGAGAGATGGAGGTGAGGAGATGAATTCCAGAGAGTGGTGAAAGGGATGGCTGAGGTAGGAAACAGACAGCGTGGAGGGGGTAGAGGGGCAGCAGGCCTGGGATGTTTCTGGCTGTGGCACTGCCCCTGTGGCCAAAGGCCACACTGCACTGGAAGAGAAGGGCAGGTCTGAGAGCCATGGAGGTCGCAGAGGCAAAGGGGTTGGGAGGAAATAGACTTGCTCTCCTTATTCTTTGTTCCTCCAGCCGGCTCCAGAAGACATGTAGTCTCACTTGAGGCACCAGACGAGGGGGAGCTTCCCACTCACAGCCTCCCCAGCTGTCCACTCTTGTGTTTCCTGTTGTGCTCTAGGGGGCTGCAGACCAGATGAATGTAGCCTATTCCAGTGCCTCTGACCATCTCCTGGTCTCCTCATCTACAGTTTGCCTCTTCTGTTTCTCCTTTCCGTTCCCAAGCCCTTTGGTTAGGCCCCAACCCAGTTGGTTGGGTCTTGCTCCCAGCCTTCCAAAGGCTTAATCATGCCATTTCTTCCCCCATTTCCTTCTCACTCAAGCCCTAGCCCTTATTTGATTATTTCTTCTTAACCCTCTCCCCCGCTGCTCACTTGGACCCCAGGGGAGGACACAGGACCAGCCCTGCCTGGCATGGAGGGCAAGGCTGGGTGACTGGAAATAGGAAGCACAAGATTGTCCTTTTACAGGAGAATATCCTGAGACCAGAGAAGGCAGGGACTCACCCAAGATCACACAGCCAGTCAAGACATACCCAGATCCAAAGGCTCCTGACTGCCTGCCTCCACTGTGTCGGCAGGGCCACAGACTCACATCCAAACCTGTGCATAAACAGGCACACCTGTACACACACCCCGTGTATACAGCCACACACTTGTACACAGTTCCTTCTTACCCAAGCAGCATGTCTCATTTTATAAACCAATTTCATATCCATTATCTATTTGAACCTTATGAAATCCCACAATTCTGACAGTGACAGGACATCTCCAGTTTATAGATCAGAAATGGAACTCAGAGAGGTTAGCCGATTGCCCAAAGTTACATAGTAAGTGCTGGAGTTAGTTAGGATTAACCCAGGTCTCTTGACCCCTAGTCCAGTTCCACTGCTGTTTCTTGAACCCAAGGACAAATACTACCCAGATCTCTGCAGCTAACTAGTCATAGGTGCCCAGTATGCACCTTTAGATTCACAGGCCCTCACAATCCACAGGGAGGGCCTGCCTCAGAATTCAGGAGCATGAAAGGAAGGCCTCCTTGCCTAAAATTCCTCCTTTATAACCCGCTGGTGGCAGAATCCTGTTACCAGAGGAAAAACCCTTCAGTTCTAATCAGAGCACAGGCTGAGAGCACAGGCTCTGTGGGAGGGAGTGCCCAGTAACCCGCCACTCACCCTGTATAGAACCTTCTGGAAGGTGAGCTTTGTTAGGTGGAGGGGGCAGTAAGCCAGCCTGAGAGTGAAGAACCTGAGGGGACCCCCTGTGAAGGGTGATAGCCCTGGGCCTCAGTCTTCCTGACCTGCACCCTCCTCCATGCCCCCAGCCATTTAGGACACAGGAATTATGGGTTCAGAAATATTCTTCCTCCTCTTCTTGACTCATTTCTCTTAGGACCCCCAGTCTCCTCTGCCCCTCTTCTCTTCCGCATCCCCCTGCACCCAATCTCTTTTCTGTCTTCCTCTTTCTTTCCAGATTGCCTCTTCCAGGAAAACCACCCAATTGCTGCCAGGGATCCCCACTGCTTACTTTGTATCCCTACGCATCCCTCATCCATGCCTCCCTGAGCTGACAGAAAAATGCAATAAACTTACCATAAAGAGGATGCTCCATGTTCTAAATCTTTTTAATTCTATCAGGAGCCACCCTCTCTGAAAAGTGGGGGTAACGCTGTGCACACAGTCTCTGGGGGCTGGAGTGTGTGCGTGTGTGTGTGTGTGTGTGTGTGTGTGTGTGAGTGAGAGAGACAAACGAGCTAGTGACATACAATCAGCTGGACACTTCTCTGGACACCAGGAATCTTCTGATCATTGTGATCAGACCCAGAGGAGAAGATGCCAGGCCTGCCCCAGAAAGCAGATGAAGTTGCCCTGGAGAGGAAAAACTCCCTGGAGACTGATTACCTGCCTACCCACCCTGAAGGGCTCTGTGTGTATGTAAGGCTAAGACTTTGTAGTGACATGTGTGATATACTGGGAGAGAGACTATGGGTTGTGTGTGCACTACATTGTGTATATGTGTGATAGGGATAAAGAACTTTGAGAAACTCTATGAGTGCAAATTGTGTATCCCCAGAATAAGTGTGAGTGTGTTCCAGGAGGAGGAAGCAGTGTGTGTATGTGTGTGCCCACATCATTTTAGACCAGTGCACACATACCCCCACCTCACTCCACTGAGCAGCCCCAGTTAGTATCACAACAGCCCCTCACTCCCAGCACGCCTCCAGCACAAGCCCCTCTGAGCTCTACCCAAGGCACAGCCCTCACACAGATACACAGTGACACACCGTGACACACACTTCCTCCTCCCTCAACAGCTAGCTCCTCAGTCCCGAACACCACCAGCTGCCTCTTTGAGCTTGCGTTCATGTGGAAAAACAGGATGGGGTGGAGGCAGGACACGACCATCTTACATTACCAAAGCAGCCCGTACCCCGCCTTGTTACTCGCCCCCGCCCCCAGGCGCCTTCCTTGCCCCTCCCCCTCCCAGTCACCACTGTCCAGTTCCTCGTCCTACACTCCACCTCCCCACCCCGAAAAGCTTTCGTTCTGTGCCCCTAACCGGGGCTACCAGGCAGGGTGACCCCAAGAGAGAGGGGCCTGGAGAGACCTAGAGGGGCAGAGACCGAGTGAGAAGGGGCCGAGTCGGAGAGGCTGGGACTGCGGGGGGAGGAGGGAGGCCCAGAGGGAGGGAGAAAGGGAGGGGAGGAGGGAGGACGACGCACTGGAGCCGGCAGGCGGCGGGAGACCGAGCGAGCAGCCTCGGGAGTGCGGTCTTCATGGCTGTGCTGGGCGCAGCCAGAGGTAAGACGACCCCTACTCGGGCCCCCGCCCTTCTGCCCCCCACCCCACCAGGCGCCTCCTCTCCCCTCCGGCCAGCCCCTCCTCCAAGCCACCTGCTGTTTCTGCCCCGGAGAACACGGTGGGTGGCAGAAGGGAGGAGCCACCTGACCTTACCCCTTCACCCCGAAGGGCGAAGGCGACGGACCCCTGGTCGGCCCAGGAGCCGTCCAGATTCCCCCTCCTACCTTCCTCTGATCTCTTTCTGTCCTTCATCTCCTCCTCTCTGTCCTTCACATCCTTCCTGCCTGCCTCCCTCCATCTCGGACTCCCCATCTCTTTCTTCCTGAGCCCACCGGCTGGGCCTGGGTGAGGGTGAGTGGGAAGGAGTACAGGGCTGTAGGGGAGGCTAGTGGGGGGGCCGCTCCTGACCAATTCCCTCCACCTCCCTCTGGCTGGCCATTGCCATGGAAACTAGGGAGTACTGGGCTCCAGAGGGAAGACAAAGGTAAAGGGTGGACTAGGACCTCTTGGAGAAGGCAAGGGTCTGAGGTTCTTCTACAGGAAATAGACCCTCCCACTGCTGTACCCCATTTTCATCCTCACTTACTCCAAAGCCATTATGTCCATCCCCACAGCTCCCACTCTGTTCTTGGTGTCAGTAGCCCCCACTGAAGCTCAGCGTCACTAAAATCGGGACTGTCCTCCCTCCCATCACAGGAGAAACTGAGGCTCCAGGCCAGAAGAGGAAAAAAATCAAGGTCTACCAGTGGGAGTCAGCACTTTACTGAACATTTGGCTTTTCTTGTTAGCTTCCCATTCCTTGCTCCCTACCTGGAACCAACCTCTCCTCCCTCCAAAGCCTCCTCTCCAGGGTTCTCTGGGCTTTTCCTTCTATTTTCAGACACTACCACTTTGTCCCTTCTTTCTTTCTGCTTCTGCTCAAACTCTCCTCCTTCTCCCTAGATCCCCCTCTTTCCATTTCTGGATGTTTCTGATGTCAGTAGTTTCCCTGCCTTCGGGTTCCCTAGCCCCCCCACTTCGGGCCCCAGCTTCCTCTCTCCCATCTTACCAGATTACTGGGTGGGTGGAGGGTGATCTCCCCAGGCTTTGGGAAATGGGGCTGACCACCAAGATCATTGGTCCCAGGAGACTGGAACGTTGGGGAGAGGAGCCATAATACTGTATCCCAGTTTACTGTAAACCCTCAAGAAGAAACAAGTCATGTGTGAAGGAGATTTCATAGGGACATGAAGATAGGGGTCTCCGAGTAGTATTGAGTAGGAGACATTATAAGAAGAAAACTGGGAGTGCCAGAGGGTGAAGAAAGGGCTGAAAAAGGATGGGAGACACGGAGGCAAGGATACCTTCTTTCTTTGAGGTATGGAAGAGCAGGAGCTCTTATCTGTGTGGGGTCATCTGATTTAGAGGCAAGGGAATGTTCTGAATGACCCTGTGACCCCTAGTAATCTGTCATTTCTCTAGTTTCAAGAGAAGGGAGGGGGCACAAGAAGCCAGCTGGAGACCAGCCTAGGCCCTGCCTCTGCCCTCCTGCTCCCTCATCTCCTCTCTCCCTTGCAGCTTGTCCAGGTGGCTGAGCCCCACCCCTAGAACCCCTTGGGGCATCCAGAAGATCCCTGACTGGTCAAGAACCGGAGAAAGAAGAAACCTCGAAATCCTGGCATGTCCCCCCAGCCAATCTCATAGTTGGGAAAGCAACCAGCTTGCCGCCCCCGCCCCCATCAACCACAGGGATACTTAAGAAGGGCCCCACCCAGTATGGAGACTGAGGACTGCCTCTGCTGACCCTCAGCTTCCTCCCCAGCTTCCTTCCTTTCACACCTGACCTCAGCTGTGTCAGTCATGCAATGCTGAGCAGTGGGGTGGGCCTGGGGGCAGCCTGCCTCACCACAGGGCAAGGATTGTGGGCATCATGGGGGTGTGTGTGAGTGAAGCTCCTGGGTGAGACCTAGCCCCCGCCCCCAGGAGTTTGAGGGGGCGGGGGGCCAAGGATAGGATGGCTCGGGGCGGGGTGGGGGCAGAGGAGGCCTCCCTGCGTTCCAGCGCATTGTCCTGGCTGGCCTGTGGGCTGCTGGCACTGCTGGCCAATGCCTGGATCATCCTCAGCATCTCAGCCAAGCAGCAGAAGCACAAGCCGCTGGAGTTGCTGCTCTGCTTCCTAGCAGGCACGCACATACTCATGGCGGCTGTGCCCCTCACCACCTTTGCTGTGGTGCAGCTACGGCGCCAGGCTTCCTCCGACTATGACTGGAACGAGAGCATCTGCAAGGTCTTTGTGTCTACCTACTACACACTGGCGCTAGCCACCTGCTTCACAGTAGCTTCACTTTCCTACCATCGCATGTGGATGGTGCGTTGGCCCGTCAACTATCGCCTCAGCAACGCCAAGAAGCAGGCGCTGCATGCGGTCATGGGCATCTGGATGGTCAGCTTCATCCTCTCCACACTGCCCTCCATCGGCTGGCACAACAACGGCGAGCGCTACTACGCCCGTGGCTGCCAGTTCATAGTTTCCAAGATTGGCCTTGGCTTTGGTGTCTGCTTCAGCCTCTTGCTACTTGGGGGCATTGTCATGGGGCTGGTCTGTGTGGCCATCACCTTCTATCAGACGCTGTGGGCCCGGCCCCGGAGGGCTCGGCAGGCCCGGAGAGCAGGGAGTGGTAGTGGGGCCAAAGGGGGTGGGCCAGGGGGCTTGGGTACCCGGCCAGCCTTTGAAGTGCCAGCCATTGTGGTGGAGGATGCCCGAGGGAAGCGGCGATCCTCGCTGGACGGCTCTGAGTCTGCCAAGACATCCCTGCAGGTCACCAACTTAGTCAGCGCCATCGTCTTTCTCTATGACTCACTCACAGGGGTACCCATCTTGGTGAGATCGGGGTTCCCCCGCCCCTCCTGCCCTCCCCAATATCCAAGCCTCAGTAACATCACCTGACCTCCAACTCCATCAGCCATACAGTGGCTCCATCATCTCTCCTCCAGTTCCATCATCCATCTTATTTTCCTCTACCCATTCCCCACTCCACTTCTGAGCCCCCATCTCTAGCACCTAAATTCTGGTTCCACTACCCCATCACCCGGCTCCATCATATGTTTTCTTGTTCCCAGTACTCAACTCTGTCATCCATCCTTCAGTTCCACTACCTGTGCTCCAGCTCCATCAACCATCCTTCATTTCTACTAGCTGTCCTTCAGCTCCATCATCCATCCTTCAGTTCCACTACCTAACCTCCAGCTCCATCATCTATCCTGCAGCTCCATTCTTCAGCCCCTCAGACCTATCATCCAGCTGCCAAGCTCCATTCTCCATTCCCTAATTCCCTCCAACACCACTCAGTCTCTGAGCACTCCTGGGTAGAAACCCCATTACCCCAGCTTTTTTGCATCCTCGTCTAATCCCTATTCCCAGATGTCTCTGTCTTCAAGTTTCTGGCACCA